AAGAACCAACTATTTTTACTACTAATGGTTATGGATTTTGTACCTGTCGATATGTATCTTGATTATGCTCTTCATTACGGGAATCATAATACTGTTCTATAAAACCAAAATACTCAGCACGTTTCCTCTGGAGTGTTTGTTGTTGTCTTTCCTTATTGGCAGGGAGATATCCCTGTAGAGAGAAAATTTAACTGTCCATGTCAAAAGGTAGCTTAAAATACGAATAAGAGTGTAGAAAAGTAAAAAAACAAAACACATTACAACCTAAAATACAGAAAGTACAGTGATAAACACCTGTTGCAGTCCCTGCAGGATTCATTATACATTTGCTCATTTTAATTGCCTCCTTAATGCCTTCTTAGTGTATTTGACATGCAGAATGTTTTGTTATTCATGCTCTATACCAGGAGTAGGACAACTTCAGCCCTCCAGTTGTGATACAACTACAAATCTCATTAGACAGTGCAAGATTCTGACAGCCACTGACATGACTTTCAGGGGCAGATGCATGATGGGATTTGTAGCTTCACCATAACTGGAGGGTTGAAGTTTGGCTACCCCTGCTCAGTTCAATAAAATGAACAGCAATAACTATAAAATTCAAAAATCAAAGAAACTCAGCGTAAATTGTAGTTTGTTTCTACATGAATAGTCACTGGAGAAATGCCATCATCTTTGATGATGCTTTAGCAAAGTCAAGATACACCCCGTCTACTGGTATTCCTTTGTCTATATTACAACTGACTTCCTCGTAGAATGTCACTTGATTAGTCTGACAAGAATGGTCCTTCATGAAGCCATGTTGGTTGCTACTACTTATACCATTTTCATAGGCAAATTCCTGCACGTAGTCCCTTATTATTCCTCTGAATATTTTACACACTATTGATGTTAAGCTGACTGGTCTATAGTTACCAGGTGTACTATGTTTTCCCTTTTTGTATATTGGTACCAGATTTGCTTTCCGCCAATCAACTGGTACAATACCTGATATTAAAGTGTCCATAAAGATTATGAACAGTGGTCTGGTTATGATCTGGCTATGTTCCCTGAGCACACGCTGATTTAGCCCATCATGGTCCTGGAGATCTGTTTACATTTAATTTATCCAAACTCCTCTGCACTCTGACGGCTCAACTAGCTTGGTGCAAATTTATAACGAGTGTTCGATCACAAGCCACAATGGGATTGAAAGCTGACCAATCACAGGAAAGCATTCTATTAGTATGATACTTCCTCCCTGTCAAAATGCCCAATCAAAGCTGAGAGGGTGTCATCAAGGCAAATGCCTGATCTCCACAGACGCCTGCACAATGAATGAATAATTAGACATGAGAACACTCCAGATAAATGAAGCACTAATAGCATTGAATAGATAAAAATCAAATATAAAAAGCTTAAAATGTTTTGCAAGGCAGAGGCACTAGCACATCGCTGGAACGTTGAATACACTGGTATGTCGGCTACTCGTCACAACAGATCCGAAAAGCCGGCATCCAACCAGGAGACAACCCAGCGGCTGCAAAGTGACTTAATGCTACCTCATTGAAAAAAAAACACACAAAGTCTTACACATAACATAGATGACAATAGGGGGAGATAAATTGGTATTAGCGATACAGTATAACTAAGCGGTGGTACTGTCGTAAATGCACTACAGGTACCAATCAACGCACAAAAAAGGTGAAAGAAATACTAGTTGTATAAAAAATTATTATAATAATAATCTTAAAAATGCGAAAATTTTAAAAATGATTATCTAGTATACCGATGTCATAATTAATTCGTAATGTATACTGATGGTAATTATTGATAGAGATGGTAGTAGATATTAAAAAGGATGTTAAAATTGCAAATACAAACAGACTGTGAGAGAACCCTATGAATAAGAACTAATAATGGGTAAATAAAAAACAAATCTCTATAAACAATGCACTAAAGGACTCAGATAAAAGAATACTGATGGTAATGTGGGACATGATAATAATACAGAAAATAAGCTGATGATACAATCTTGGTAATGAACACTTAGTTGATGAAAAATTGCATAAATCTGTATTTGAAACAGAGGCTATATCAATCCCCTCATTAAGTCCCACCAGAGACAGGCTGTTCAGGGTGTAGATCCAGAAAGCCTCCCTATTGCAAAGCTTCCTGAATCTAACACCCTCATCCGCCATCTTAGGAATACCCTCAATGCCAAACACCTTCAACCCCTCAGGCTTGGCACAGTAAAATTTCAAAAAAATGCCTAGGTAGTGAGTGGTCATCTTTCTTTTTGAGAATATTACTCTTATGTTTTCCGAATCTAATTCTCAGGGTCCTGGACGTGTGGTCAGGCCCGGCGCTACCACAAGGCAAGCGGCCGCCTGAGGGCGCTGCAGGGTGAGGGCGTAAAAAACAGGGCATTTTGACAAGTACTTGTACTTGTCAAAATGCCCCGATGCTTGCGCTATGTTTTTTTTTTTTGGGAGGGCACAAAAATGCAACTTTGTCTCCAGGTGGGGTCCTAATTTAGCTGGCCAGCGACTGGCAGAGGATCCCCACACGCGCGGCAGCTCTGGCAGTCGCCGGCCAGCTAAATTAGGACCCCATCGGGAGCTCCTCCCACTGGACCAGCGCTGACTCGCCGCTGCTCTCCCGCACCGAAGGTAAGTGAAGAAAAAAAAAAACCATGCTGATAGGGAGGCCCAGCGCTACAGGGGGTCGGGTCGGGGAGGGGGTTGGGAGGGCACAAAAATGCACCTTTGTCTGTCTAGGCAAAAATCCTAGCACCGGCCCTGCGTGTGGCCAACATACAAATTTGCCACGTGGACAAATAATACCATAGATAACAAATTCTGACCCACAGTTTAAAAACTGCTTGATAGAAAAAGTTTTTCCAATGGAACGAATAAAATCTTTTTTGATGTGCCATAAGAATGGACAGGCCCCTCAATTCGGAGAACCACATTTGAAACAACCTGTCTGTCCGAAGATGCCTATACCCCTAGTGGATGTAACTGATTTCAACTTACTGGGTGCTAGAGAGCTGCGCAAATCTTTTGGTTTCTTAAACATTACACTGGGCCTCTCAGGAGGAGAATCAGATAGCATTGGATCTTCCATTAGTGTTCTCCAATATTTTCTAAGGGTTTTGGAGATTCTGAATGCTCCATCATTGTATTGAGTACAAAATCTCAAACTAGATCGTTCTCCTGATCTCAAATCATTGTCAGATTTTGTATTATGGTTGGATAGATGTGTAATAAAGGCCTTATCTAGAAGGGCAGCATCATATCCTTTGTCCAAAAACATAAGGCTAACTGTACAGACCTACTAGTGTCATACAGAGCCCAGCACTGCCACAGAACAATGTGCCTGGCAAGCCCCGCACTCTTCCTGTAAAAGTACATTCAGAAATGGTGCCTTCAGTTAACAGAACTGAAAGGTTCCTATTGCAAAGTGTTATGCCAACCTACACCAAAGAAAACAGCAGAAAATGCTGCAAAAGTAAAGTGGACCAGGAGAATAAAAAAAAAAAAAAGGCCTATGAACTGTGACCACTGTGGTGAATAATCAGGATCTGGAAGTATGACACTGGCAGAGCAGAATGGTTGTGCAGGGCATAGCCCAATCTGGAGGTCAGGTAGGAACACTGTTCCCAGACATAAGCTTTGTATTGACTGCCCAAATCTGGGGGTGCCGCTTACCTTTCACTTGCTCATTTCTGGCAACTCCAAAATTGATGTTATCTCCTGCAATGTAATGTTAAAGGGGAACTATGGGGTAACCTATACTAACGCCCTCCCGTGACCCAAAAGTATATATGAGGACTATTGCCTGCTATATGATGAGAGCGCCGCAGGCAGGCCGGATCCAGTCAATAAAGTAGAGATCCACACCGCTGGCTGACAGCGGGCTCTGCCTTTCTAGAGGCAGAGCCAGCTTTGCCCGCCTCCTCCCCCTGTCCGTTCCTCCAATCAGCACTGGAGGATCAGAGAGGAGGGGGGAATCCCTGAGGGGAGCGGTGACTAACAGTAAGTGAGCGAGTGGCGTTATGTTTTCGTTCACTTCCCGATCAATAGAGCCGACATGTGACAGTTTCAATGTCACACGTCGGCTCCAACTATGGGGATGAGTGTAATTCACTCACCCCATAGTTCTCCTTTAATGGAGTGGGCTCATGAGTTAATGGTTACCATAATTAACCCAGTCTGTACGGTGCTGGCTAGAAAAGAAATACAATATAAATTTTTTTTTTAGGTATGCTGTTTGAAAGGGAGCACAAACATATAGTAGGGTTATCCCAAATGTCACTGCAAAAGTGGAAATACACTAAGGACACTAAGCTAACCTGAGCTCATACTATACTTGCAACCACTAAAATTTGACTGTGCCCTTTTCTTTGTGTCCCACCATGAGTTATAGAATAACTGCCTGTGAGTGCAATGAATGCTTGGAGCATGCTAGTTGCCGATGTCTGCTTTAAATACTTTCCAAGTCACTGACCTGGAACAGGCATACAGATTAGGAAGTCAGAACAACTGATTTGCACACCTATACTACAGGTTGATGACTCAAAGTACGAACGCCATCAAATTAGCATGAGAACCAGGGGTAACTAACACATCCTTATTTACTTATTACAGGTTTCCTTAAACTTTATAATTTGCTGTTAAATTTTAGTTATTGTATCCACATAAAAATATCTTACCGACAAAAGTCTCCATGTGATTGGTCGAACATCTCGAGGAATTCCAGGCCAGCTATACTTCCTTAATTCATCTGTAAAATATTTGTGTTATTAGTACCAATATCCTTGTTCAAATGACCAGCCACAAATGGACATTTGTAGTAATCTTAATTTCCATTTTTAATTGTTCTAAAAATGCTGATTTTTAGTCTCTACCTCTCAAATCATGAAAAGCTAAAAAGGTTTCACCCTCCTTATAAAACATTAAAGTGTATGTACAGGCAATGCATTTTAGATAAAGGGAGTTTTTAAACCCCCCATTAGGTGTCCTTCTGTGGATATGTCCCCACTTTTTGTTCAACAACTTAAGTGAATTACCATCTTAGTTGTCACCAGAACATTTTTAAGATTGGAAGCTTCCCCTCGCCTCTTGTTGTGGTTAATCTGGCTTTCCATTCCTTCATGTCTTGGTGACAATGCTCATGAGGGCAAATAGAGGGTGAATCTTCCCAATAGGATACAGACCGCAATAAATGTTGTCTAATCCTGTTTGACTCTACTTTAAAAACAATTTTGTCCAGGTCAGGGTCACTTTAGAGAGCAAGACAGCAAGAACATTTGTAAGAATCTTTATCCCCATTCCTAATGTATGTAAACACAAAAATATTTATTTTTAATGAAATAACAGTACTTAGGTGCAAGCAACTTTGAGTTGTACAGAAACACCTGTGTCAAATCTAAAATTGATCCTGGTGTCCCTACGGACCAATGGATCTTAAGTCCAGACTGTAAATGGAGATTCACTTCTACTCAAGTTGCGATTAAGCCCTATTCCAGGGCTCAAAATATCAGGACCTGAGCTACTTGCCAGGCCTTAAAAGTTACTTGCCACCAGTTGCCCTGCCTGACCCCACTCCATCCTATCCTTCTTGTGCACAGATGTACCATGTGTACCTGTGAACAAACTAATCATTCTTTGGTGGACCAATACCGGGCATAGCACAAACACACAGAGGGCACAACGTGCACACAGGGCATAAGCACATGCACAACACACAGGCCATACGCACAGCACAACACACAGGCCATACGCACAACACACAGGCCATACGCACAGCACACAGGCCATACGCACAGCACAACACAGGCCATACGCACAGCACAACACAGGCCATACGCACAGCACAACACACAGGCCATACGCACAGCACAACACACAGGCCATACGCACAGCACAACACACAGGCCATACGCACAGCATAACACACAGGGCATACGCACAGCATAACACACAGCATAAAGGTGCCCATACACCTGACTATTACCATACGATAATCGCTGGTGATCCTGGGATCGTACGATAATCGGCAGGTGTATGGGCAGCTCGTTTTACGAGCACGCTAGAAAACCCATGTGAACTAGTACGGGTAATACAGAGCAGCAGTGTAGAGGAGAGTACAGTGCAGGCAACTGAGGCATTAGTGAAGAGAGGGAGGGGTGGGGGCTGGAGGAGAAGGCTGTGTGCAGTGAGAGATGATTCCTCTCTGCCTCCTGGAATTTGTAGAAAAGAAAGATGTGCACGTGACCAGAATCAATGTGCAGGGCTCTTTCTAGGTGACATGAAGTGTGGGGGGAGAGAAGAGCAACAGGAGTGAGCACAGCAAATTTTCTAAAGGAATTCAAATAGTAAAAGTTAATTTTAAAACAAATAAATGTGGCTTTGGAGAATGTTCATTGTGTAGATGTGTATAAGGAAAAAAAAGCTGAGGGTTTTGATCCACTTTAAAGATTGTAAAAGAACCCCAGAGAAATTAGCCCTGAAGTCAACCTAAAGAGAAAGTCCGAGCAAGCAAGACCCCTACAAAATTGGGAAGGCAGATCCAGGGGTACTTCACAACCCAGCTAGTGAATCACAACACCCTACCAGTAGGATGAGCTGAATTCCTTCTACCAAACAGATAGCATGTACCCTAGAATTGACAGATAACCCTAAAAACAGCCAACTAGACCCACCATTCATGATTCTAGGAATCACTCACTTTGTCCCAAAAACAAGCCATATCCTCTACTGCACAGTGAGGGTGGGCATCTTAGACTCAGTACTAGGAACATTTACCTGAATAAGAGAAGGAATGCAGGAGGAAGAAGGGACTTGCTCAGGGGATGCAAAACAGCCACAGACAAAAGGACCTAACTCCTGGTGATCAGGTCCCACAGAAACCTCTAGCCTTGAACTAACCCCCCGCAGTGGTCAATTGTACTAAGATTTAAACACGTTTCTCCTGCTTAAAACTCCAGGGGAGTACAAGGCCATCCAGTGATGGATGCCTGTTCTGGAGAGGTGAAATAACTACCTCCCTTACAATCAGGTTGCTGATGATAGATTAGATAAATAGATAGGATAGATAAATCTGGATGCATTTATGTAATGTTAACTGTTCATTGTCTCATATTGCCTCCAGTATTTAAGCATTTGTTTTCATTCCGATTGCCTGATGCCTGAGGGGTTTCCCAGGTTCCCCCTCTCCTTCTGGGCCCTGGGGGAGACTAGAGCTTTGTCTGGTCCTTGCCTTGGGGGTGCCAGGGTTTCCCATCTCTTTATTTGCTATGCCATGTTCTTGTGTTTATTTAATGTTTTCTTTCTATTTTGACCTGACAAATTTTTTATTTTCGGTTTCGGTCTAAAAATTCAATTTCGGTGCATCCCTAGTCAGCACCATACTGCTGCTGCATTCAGTACCATATCCTTCCCCCTAACTGCACACAGCACCAATGCCAGCCAAACAGCACAATACAACTCCACCTTCCCCTGTTTTTTTTCCATTGTACAACCACCTTTGCACGTACCACCTGGAAACCCTTCTCAGCACCACATCTTTCAACTGTGCACATCCACAGCTCATCTCAAAAAGGTACAACCAAAGCCACCAGCTCTGACCATGTGGACAGAAAAAATTATGGTGCGAGTACTGCATAATGACAAAAGGTATGAAAAACATTTTTAACACCCCCTTCCTTCCTACTGTGCTATACAAGAAAATTATTTTCAGTAATAAATCAAAAAATTAAGGAAAGAGGAAGAAAGGAAGAAAAAGCAGGACAGTGAAAGTATTGGTTTTCCCTCACATTAGAGATAAGCAAAAAAAAAGACCCTTCGGCTCCATTCATACCTATGGTTTAGGTGCGATTTGGTATTCCTGTGTCAGGAACTTGCAATTTCCTGCAGCAGGAATTCCAAAACTTCAATTTTTTCAAGGATCAGCTGTCCCCCATTCAAGTTAATGATTGGATGGCAAAGGCTGCATTTGAAAGTGGCAGAACGTGGACACATCACATGTAATTGTATGTTATATAATTACATGCAGTTAGGTATCAATATCTATCCCTGGATGCTTAGATTGTGCATTCTGCCACTTTCACATGCAGCCGGTCACCCATTTATTAACTTGAGCAGTTGACAGCTGCCGCTTGTAAATGGAAGATATGGAATTCCTACTGCAGGAAAAGTTCTTGACGCAGGAATACCAAATCGCATCTAATCCATTGGTGTGAATGGAGCCTTACATTGGTGACTAGTGGGAAATGGGCCCACTTACATTGGTGGTCAGAAGAAGAGGAAAAAATGCACCTTGCAACAAAGATAATTGGAATGAATACTCCTTACATTGGTGGCCATTACAGACAGCCAAAAAAAAAAAAAAAATGTATTGGTGTCAGTGATTGCATAACAAAGAGAAGAGGGGAGAGACTCCACTTGTTGCACAGCACTGTAACTACCAAGTAATGTTGGCCCCAAAACTATGCAGGCATTATCGGGCAGGAGGTCAATTTTCTACTGCTTTCAACTTAATGAACCCTTAGCAATCTCTTAAGGAATCCTAGTTATAGGATTAGGAAGTTATACTTACCCGAACTGCTGAGCCGGCTCCCTGCTTCTCCAGTCACCGTCACTAAAGCCTCTCTCCTGCTACGCTGTAGCACTCGTATGTTCCTCGGCATCCTCATGTCTATACACTGTGTATAGTACGTGATGATTTACGGGACCTTAGACTGCTGCATAGGAGGGGGAGAAAGGCTGGAAGGACTGGTCAATGAACAAGCTGGCTCAGAGCATCAAGGGAGTACAACCTTTTTATTTTTTTAAGCACCTAGACAAAAAAAGACCCCCACTGCAAGGGTTAAAGAAGAACTCTGGGAAAACTTAACTTCTAGAAAATACCTTCACATATTTTTACTATAGCTTACCAAGGTCAGTGTTCACACTGGAAAGCAGCTGTCTGAATTTTTCAAGACGCGTCTTTTCCCTTACGTTCATGGACGGCGCTCCGGAAGCATTCTGATCAGAAATTCTAGCAATAAGTGGAATAATAGGCCGGAAAGGATGCGGCTGCAGTTTTTGTAGTGGCTTCCTCATTAAAGTGGGATCTAGAGGACAATAAGAAAAAAGTTACAGTAAACATATTTCAAGGTAACAGATAAACCCCGATGCAACATTCAGTTTGTCAGAGGCAGAGCTTTCACATTTACCTTTTTCCTATATATATATATGTTCCCTGTTCCCATAGCTGCTAACAATCTCAATGAAAAAAAAAAAAATCATCAAATCATTAAGTTCATCTTATATTTCAGAAATGTAAATCTTTTGGTAGGTAAAACAGTTCACACATGAATTCAGCGGCGTTTAGTTGTCTGCCTAGCATAAGAAGGTGAACCTAGCAGCAGAACAACAACAAAAAACTATAACAAAATAAAATCATAATTTCCTCCTATCTACATTTGCTGTCAATCAACCTCAGGAAGTCTGCAGTGGATTACAAAGGACAGGACAAATGGACAGTTCAGGAGCATATTAGATAGCCATATTTTCTATAGTATAAACAAGGGTTAACATACATGGTTAGTAAAATCAAAGTATCAAGAAAAGGAATGCGGGGCAGCGTGGCCAAGTCATGGAGGAGTGAAGACCACGTTTTCTTTGCTCCAGGCCCGACTTACCCTTGCTGCCTCCCTACTGGAAACAGACTCACCTCTCTTCCCCATGACTAAGCGGGGAAAGTAGCGGGGTTCGCATTTCGCCCCTAAAACTGCTTTCAATCGGCTGTTTCAGACGCCGGGTCCCTCCACGGACATGCGCTCTCGGGATGCAGCCATGGACTCTCCTACTGCACAGCCGACGGGGCGGGACTAGCCGACGGCAGCCGGTTCAGACGTTCTTGATCGGCGACTCCTCTCATTCCTGGCATTCTGAGCCTCTACTGCCATCCCCGAGTCATGATAGTGTTTGGCAACCTCCTCAGTCTGACCAGATACAGCTGCATAATTCCGAGCTTAAGGAACTGCTCTGCTCTCTCCCTACCAGGGATGACCTGGCTGCCATGGCACCTACCAAAGCAGAATTTGAAGCGTTCACAGTTAGCATCGAGTCTGCCTATAAGCAAGCAAATCGACGAGGTTAAAGAAGAGGTCACCACTGTTGCCTATAAAGTTTTTGCTATTGAACGTTCTCAAACAGATCTCATTCGCAGAATCACCCATCTGGAGGAAGAGGAGTCTTCCTCCAAGCGTCAGATGATTGCTCTGATGCTCGGACTGGATGATCAAGATAATCAGGGCAGGCGAAATAATGTCCGTGTTAAAAGGGATCCCTGAATCTACTCATGCTGCGGATCTGAAAACCACCGTACAGGGTATCTTCAATTTGTTCCTGGATCGTCCCCGATAGAAATTGACCGGGCCCATTGATCCTTAGATCACCGGACTATGACAGACCGAGGGATGTCATTTGTCGTGTCCACCACTAAACTTTAAAAGGAGGATATTTTGCAACAGGCATGATTGATTTTGACGGGGGCCTTACAAATGAGGCGTATGCTGAAACCTCTGCTGGAAGCAATAAGAGCCTCCGTAGCTTCTTAGAGATGGGGCTTTCCCTTTCACTTCATTATTAATAAAATCGGAAGGGACTCCTTTCGAGGTGCCCAACTGGCTGCTTCTCCCAAGGGCAGGGAATCCTGCACTCGCTCATGACCTACCCCTACGTCGCTCTCCATCTCCACGTGGATAAGCTTCCATGCACTCCTCTGGAAGAGCTTTCGGTAGAGCTCGCCATACCCCTCGGGGGGGAAGGCACTCACCTCTGCAGCCCTCACAGCATGAACTGTAAGGTCATCAATTTCATCTGTTTTCACAAGTGGCTAGTATAAACCTCCACCAATTACACATTTTTCCCTGCAAGGGTTTTGCAAATTCTGGAGCTTCTAATATGCAGTGTAGGTTGTTAGCTGTCTCCCTCCCTCGCACCATGGTGCTGTGTTCTGCACCCGCGGCGGAGGGATCTTGCCCATGATCTGGGTAGACTTTAACTGACCACAAGACTGGGTGGTGTACCAGGGCGCTTTGCTTGATCCCTATGAGCTGGTCTGGGCCCCTAATTACTTTGGTTTTACGGAGTGCGAGAGTGGAGATCGAAGGATTTCCTTAGCGTTGCTGCTGCCTCTCCCTTAGCGGTGGCTTTGGGGCTCCTCCGTGGGGGTCTCGTCTGGTGCCCAGACGTAGATGTATACCTTGATTTTCCTCTTGCCGGTGGTCTGCATCAGCTGGCTTTACCACTCCCAAGGTGTATATTTAACATCTTCTGATATCCTGCGTTATGGTGCATTGAATTACATTTCTGGGGGCTGCCACCTGAGCTCTTCCAGACCATTGCTTTACCATATTGCCCAAGGGTTGGGACGGGAAGACTTAAATTGAGTTGCTTTGTTTATTCATTATGGCTTTTTTTTTTTTTTAATGCTTCTTCTCCTGTGGCTTGTGAGCTGTGTCGTCTGGGGGAGTTTAATGGGAGGGGGTCCCCTGCATGTTCTCCTCAATTCTTAGCTCTGTACCTGGGTTACTATGTTGCACTATCAATGTCCATTTGTATTCTCTAGATATGGTTATCTCTCACGCTTAGGCCCAGATTATCTTTCGTTCACTGTTCATCCCCCCCCCCCCCCCCCCATTTTGATGAAGAAAGTTGGTTGGTTAATGCTTAACTGCTCTTCATTATTACCTTAAGTCGTGTGCCTGGAGCGTTTGAATGCTTCCTTGTCTCCTGTTTTGATTACTCCCCCCAATAGGCCCTACTCTCCCCAGGTGTTTACTCCCCATTTCTCACTACAGTATGGCCCTGCTTCGCATTGTCTCGTATAATGTTAAAGGCCTTAATGTTCCAGAGAAGCGGAGGATGATTTTGACTGATCTTCACTGTCAACGGGCCCATATAGGTTTCCTCCAGGAAACTCACTTCCCCGCTATTAAACCCCCTACAACTTCGTGACTGCCATTATTACCCTACAGCTTATCGTAGTTATTCGCTAGACAAGAAGTCCTGCGGGGTCAGTATCCTTCTTTCTCAGTCTGTCCCATGGACCCTACTCAACATGTATGCTGAAGAGGAGGGCAGGCTTCTTATGGTCAGAGGGAGGGTCGGTGCCATCACTGTTATATTGATCAATGTTTATATACCTAACCAGGGTCAGCTCTCCTTCCTGGATAGTATGCTTGAATTGATGGACGACTTCAAAGATCCACATTTGGATTCCTCCAGGTCCTCTTCCCATCTCTCCTACGCAGCCTTGAAACGAGTTAGAAAGTGCCTCCACCTTTTCCAGCTTGTGGATGCCTGGTGGATTCACCACCCTACTACTCGGGCTTACCCTTTTTTTGCCATACTACCAATACTTACACTCATATGGAGTTGTTCTTGGTTCACCACAGCTCCTTTACCTCTGTCACAAGCTCTGCTAGCTGTAATGTTTCTCTCTCTGATTACGTCCCCATTGAGAGAACTGTAGACTTAGGTCCCACTGCGCCTCGTTCTTGGCATTTGAAGGAATATCTCATCTCTGACCCCACACTTGTTTCTGAAGTACCCAAATGGGAGGTAGTTAGATCCATAATGGAAAAACATTTGCACGTCCTCCATCTGTGCCCTGCTCTAGCAGATATAGTAGGACCTCATCCCCAATTAGTAGTCCACAGAGGACAGAATTTAAAAGATCACCTAGTAAAATCGAAGTACATGGCAAATATGCAAAACAACGTGGCTGAACGATTAAAAGAAAATAGTGGGTATGTTCCCCTGTGGAAAGTGCCAGGTGTGCGCATATGTTGACAAATCAAAAACTTTTTATGGCTCAGATGGCCAACATCCGTATAAAATCATTCAATTTATCAACTGCTCAACGGAAAGAGTGATCCATCAACTAACATGTCCATGCAGGAAGATGTATGTTGTTAAAACAAAAAGACAGTTGAGAGTACGAATATGTGAACATATGAGAGTTATTAAAAACAATGAGAAGGACAGTCCCATAGCACAACACTTCAAGGAATACCACAATGGGGAATTGAAGAATCTACAAGTCAAAAGGAATATATGTACTCAACACATCAGCAAGAAGAGGTGATTTTGTTAAGATTTTACAATAGAAAGAGAAAATGTGGATATACAAATTAAACACACTGGCACCACATGGGTTAAACACAGAATTTAATCTACAGGTATTCCTTTAATTCATGTTCAAGCAAAAGCTTGTTCCAATTTTAAAAAAGTGAACACACACACACACACACACACACACACACACACATACTTTGATAGAATAATAAGTGAACACCCATGACCCTACACCCATTTGAGTGAGAAATTAAGCTCACTAATTGCCCACAAGTAAAAAACAGGAATGCGGTCACCTATAGAGAACGTTTTTAAATTGAAAAATGACATGCTTTCATTTACATGGGGAAAGTAAAGAAGTAGTTATTACTAATAGACTGTCATGGTCTTAAAAGGAAGTCAATTCGTCTCTCCCACTACATTCTGACGAAGCCCCGTTGTAGGAGTGGCGAAACACATCAACGTGGAGAGTACGCCATCCCATCCGTTCATCATTGCATACATATGATGGCCGTTTTTCAAATCTTTGGTGGTTAACCTGTGAAGTCTACATTAACAAGCAGGCATAACGGACTAAATCAGAGACACTTTTGGAACCTTTCCCAAGAAGCATTAACTTTCAAACTGCTCCTATTAACTTCATCTGCTGTGAGTAAAATCAGTGCAAATGCCAGCTGACAGGTAAGAGCTCTTACTTGATTTATGCAATGGACATTAAACTACTGTAAAGAATTTACCACACAACAGCTCATCATTTGTGCTACCATTCAGCTCCAATCAGTGCCAGCAAATTAGCATTTTCTGAGAGAACTTGCAGTGGCTATTAGGGGGACTACAAGTGTGTTTTGTTCACATGTCCAAGCATTTATATAATCTGTGAAGGATGAAATGAACAGGAGAATTAACAGCTCATTCATTTGTAACAAGACCTTCCAATATAAAATTAAGGAAAGTGTGTTCAACAGGTGGAGCAAGTGCTATTGATAGACGGATGTAAAAGGTGCCCATACACTGTACAACCCTCGCAAAACTTTTGTCTTGCGAGGGTTGTAAAGTACTTAAAAAAATAAAAAAAAACTTACAATCTGCCCATCTTGGACAGGCAGATCGTACTTGCGATCATCGCAAGCCTGAGGGGCGGGCTTACGATGACTGCAATGAGGGGCGGGCTTACGATGACTGCAAACGGGCTGTGTGCGCGTGCGCACACCGGCCCGTTCGGCAGTTGTCGAGCCAGCAGGCCACTAACTCGCCGAGAATCGTATGATTCCCGGCGGGTTTTCTAGCCTGCTGGTTCAACGGAAGACGTGCGACTGTACAGTAGAAACGGTCGCACGCCTTCCATACACTGCACGATTCTCGTACGATCGTGGGATTTCCCGCGATTCTCGTACGAGAATCGTGCAGTATATGGGCACCTTTACAAGTCTTACTAGATTCTCTTACATCAATGTATTGTTACAATTTGCTTCTTTGAAGGAAATTAAATCCAAACAAAGACATTTTCAGGATCAATATTGACATTGATCCTGATACATTACTGCTGAAGCACAAACAAAATATGAAGGTCTCTTTGTATCAATACTTTCATCTTTACAATCATCTTCATAGAGCAAACAGGGTGGAGATTGGGGTACTGAATGTGTGTTGTGTGGGACAACTTTATCTAATTTTAACCAGAGGTGTCTGAATGTGTGGTGAAGGAATAATTGTCAAGGAACACTATGATACATATATATTTATTGGCTTTTTCCCCCCCAAAAAAGAAGTTTAACTTTTTATATCGTTAGATCTCGATTTCTGATGTGACTTCTTTCATGGCCCTATTCTCTAGAAGACCAAAAGTGTTTGGTTTAAGGAGTTCATTTAAGTCACTAATTGGGATCTACTAATCTAAATGTAAACCTAAGGACAGGACTCCCGGTTAACTTTTAACCATTTGTGCAGTCAGAGAGTGGCCAACTAGACCCCCCGCAGAGGGACATGCTTCCGCTGCTGCCAACACCCCAACAGTTATGGAGAAAGAGTATGCAATGCAAAGAAAAACCCACCCCTTCTAGCCAGAAACCAGATACTGGAAGTCCCGTAATGCAAGCAGCATACATTCCACCATGGAACACACACACACACACACAGTCCCAGCCATACTAGCCAGAGCTCTGCACACACGCAGTGGAGGAAAAAAAAAAAGAAGAAGTTCAGGGCACAGGAGAAAGGCGCAAGACAGCAGTAGAGAAACCAAAGAGGGATAAAGAGTAAAATAAAAATTAAGTACAAACCAACAAGAGAGGCACAGTTACACCATGAGCCTGCCCATATTCTGCCAGCCATTTAGGCCAGGCCTAAAACACCCAGCACATGAGCAGTGCATGAGTGGAGGATTTACCCCAACAGAATCATCCCCCCAGGACAGCCTGAACCTTTTTTTTTTATGGAGTTCGTTACTTATCTTGGGCTCTTGAAGTGAAATAGGCCAGTGTTTATTGAGATAAAGATCACAGCTGCAATATGAAACAAAAGAAGAAACACTATCTGGAGGACCATTCAAGATCAGCATTTCAATCAGAAAATTAAGGCCAACAAACACTCTGCGTCCAGGGAGGTGTAAAATTAACCATCTGCACTCTGATCCATCGAATCAAACAAATGTCGAAGGGAACTTTGAAAACAAGTTACTGATGTAGGATCCTAGACCGATTAGTTACTACTTGAGAAACCCAGGTGGAAAAACAAACAATGTCCTGAGAACAAAAGAAAATAGATTCCAGTTTTTCTCGGTCTGGTCATGAGATGGTGCAGGATTAAAAGGAATCACACTCATGGTGTGAAGGCAAAAGACAGTAGTGGATAAAAGCAGGTAAATGGGACTTTTGAGGCAAAAACCAAAATGAACCATCCAACACTGCTTGATTACTAATAAAAAGTAATTCTATTTTTAAAAGTAGGGATGGTCTGCTGGCTTTTGAGAATGTCCTAGTTGACGAAACTGGTCAAGGGGCGAACCTTGCTGAGGCTATTCTGATCCGGAAATAGGTGACTAGTGACCGCTGTGGAGAGGATCGTTTTTTTAATTTACTTTTTGCCGGCTAATTCTAAACATATCACATTGAGCAAACCAAGCAAATAGACTGTGGAGAGGAGCACGAGACTCAGAGGGTGGAACATAGCTTTGCAACATTGTATCACATATTCTCTGATCCTCTTAAAGTGTGCAAGTTTACTGATGTGGACTATATATATATATATATATATATA